GAATAAGTTAAATGACATTTTAATCAGGATGGCAGAAAACTTTCTTTCCTGCTAAATTATTTATCTAATCAGCAAATTAAAAGATATAATAACAATTAGAGGACAAATACATAAACAAGCCATGTTTGCAGAGGCTTTTTTTAGTTTAGTTTTTCAAGTTGAAGGAAATAAATGTCATAGCTAAATATTTCTTAAGTAATTTCTTAAATTTCTTAAATTTATTTATTAAATACTTGCTCAAGACATTCTTTGATTTTATGTTATTGTTTACTTCTGTATTCCTATCAGCCCTATACAAGGAAATGTCATTTATTCTGTTTTGGAGTCAAAGGACTAAAAAGGACGAATAGAGGTTTAAAGTAACATTAGAAATAAACTGCAAATTCTCATTTAACACAGTCATTAAGTAAATATTAATGCACTTTCTTATGATCCATTTAATGGAATCTGTGCACACATTAAATTACTTGCATAAATGACAACGATATATCTCTTCAGTTTTCCTTTATAGCTACATATATCATGGCTTTGCTATAAAGCATTATTGCCTATCATCTTTCAAATGTTTTCTATAAAGTAGCCAAATTCAACAATATCTATCCTTTACCCAATGTTCACTCTGATCTAAAGAAAAACATTATTATTCAGATGAACTTAACATGGACTATGTGAATCAATCTTACTGAAGTTTTAGACACGAATTTAGAAAAGCAAAACACTGCAGAGCCTAAGTAAAAAAAGACCAAAACAGAGTATTTGTCACATCAATACTCATGCTATGAAATATGCTTAGAATTAGTTTTGCTTAGGAGTTAAGGCTCCTCTTCTAAGTAGGTAATACAAGATGCGATATTTTACCACCATATGAAAATAACTTTTTAACACGCTTATTTTGATTCCATCTCAGAACACAGAATATGAGTTGAAGCTCAAAATTTTAGTTCAAATCATTTAAAAATACATATTATTACTTTGAAAATGGAAATATAAAGCCAGAATACCTGAAAAATTAATACATCTTCAGCAACTGATACTGTGAGATTTCATGGCCTATTAAACAAGCCAGGAACCTATTCAAGACCAGTTACCTTTTATAGGTGTTATAAAAGGTTATGGGTTTCATTGTTTTATTATTAAAGATGTAGAAGCCCCTGAAATCTTGTCTTCCTAAAAGACTCAAATTATCAAAGCAGTTTAAACTCATTACTTACAAAGTTTGAAACAAACTGCTCAAATGCTTAGATAATTAGTTGAATCAGGTCTCAAGTTTGAACATATTGCGTAGTTCTCCCATGGCGGAGCTCAAATGAATGACAGTAGATATGCAGAGAACAAGAAATCACAGATACAGATTACTATAGAGTGGAATATTAAAGCACATAGTATTATTAACAGTAGTAACAAACCCAAGCCTGGATAAATTATCATAGACTTTATTAGAAGAATAATGACATGCTCAGGATTAGAGAACCGGGCACACACTAGACTTTTCCAACTGAAGGAAAAAATTCGTTCTGGTTACGATAAAAATAAATTTCTTCCAGAAGCCAATATGAATAGTATTAATTCACTGACTAATAGCACACAGAGAATCCCTTTGTTTTGGATGGTGTGCTCTTTCATCCAGTTGTGTTCAGGTTTTATATCTACTCCTACAGTTCATGCACACATGCAACTCCCTGGCAGGAAATCAGATATGCATTGGCAAACCAATGGAACTAGTTCTGTCCTTCAAGAAATATCTATTTACTACGTTTGAAAATACAGCAGCAATTTTAAGATGATTTGACATTCCTGAGCAAGAATTTTTTCACCTTCATGAGCTGGGATGCCTTTTAAGCTTGAAGACTTTTATTCAGTATCTTTTTTTTTCAAAAACACATTGACTTTGCCTTTAAATTGAGGATAGTAACCTTTATTTCATTTTAATGGCAAATATAGAAAAGTTTATTACACAGCAGAAAGGATTATTTCTCTATAACAAGGTTTGAGAAGCTGCTAGTGCATCATATAAAAACAGTTATTAAAACTACATATTGTGCCTGCTCAGCAGCTATATTTCAGATCCCATCATAAGCTTAAATTTTCCTTTTCTCATAATTACTGCAAGTTTTTGCATGCATTTATGAATCACATCCCACACAATGATTAAATCTTAAGAGTTAAATAAAATGAGTAAGAAATAGATTTTTGGCTGACAATCTATACAGAAAAATATAAAATACTAATCCAATGTGAGCAGTGATAACTGAAAGGTCCATAACCCTTGCATTAAAACAATATAAAATTTAGTTATATGCTTAGGAAAAAGCCCATTTTAAGCTCTAGGGCAGAGATATTTAACCCTCAAAATAGTTGCTGTATTGAAAATATTAACTGATGGAATGACTTTTAATTACAACAGTACCTATACTTCCTCCTCATGCATACACCCATTCATCCTACCAAGAGAAGAGATGAACAAAAGGGAAAAATGCTGAAAACGGTTATTTTTGCACAGAAAATTTAATAACAGCTTTGATCTCCATTTACTAGGGACAGGGGAGACCTTCTGCGTTGCTTTTCACCATTCAAGTTATTTTTAAAAAGCCTACTACTTTAAAATCAAAATAAAATGTATGAATTTCATGTTTGCACATCTTCATCACTAAACAGTGTTTTAGAGAGATGAATTTTGGCATGAAGACTGCATATAAATTGCTGTCAAACTCCAGGTGTTCTGTCCTAAAGGAAATCAGGTCTAACAGGAATTAGACCATATAAATTCCTAAGTATTTTTCAGATGTAGAGCTTATATTACCAAATAATTTCAGTACTTTTGAAAACTTCAAATGCTTTCTGATGTAGTGCACCGGATTGCATTTGAGGAAATATATAAATAAATTAATAACAACATAAAGCATATCTGTCCCTTATGCCTTCTCTCTGACAGTGCCTGCTTCTGCTGATGCTGCTGTCCAGAAAGTCCCTCTAAGGCAGTGCAGAGGACACTGAAGAGCCCAACATGAAGGGAGGAAGAAGACACCAACAGTTTTCCATACTTTGCTATCTAGTCCTGCACCTCATATATCAGAAGTAAATGAGAAAAGACAGTATCCCCTATACTTCTCATGAAGGAAGTATGGTCTGAAGCTGAAATGTATCCCTAGCATACTTTTATGAATTCCTAGCATTACCCACACAACCCCCGCACACACATATATATGTGTGTGTATCTATATATTTTTCAGAATCTGTAAACAGTAAATTGCACTGATATAGATAAGCAACATCCATCCATGCAGTCTTGTGTCATCTGGCTGTTAAAATTATTCCATTTTATCTTACATCCCAAAGAATGCCTTCACTGAGATGAGGAGTCAGCCTCCTTCTTATTCACAAATCAACTGTTTCCCTATAGAGCTGCTCAAAAATACTGCCCTGCCCCTTGCAAATTTAGAAAAGAAATGACAGAAGCATTAATCGCTTAATAATTCCCATTTGCTGTCTCTGAACACATACATGCAGCTTTCCTGCTCAGTAACCTAAAAAAAAAAAAAAACCCACAAAAAATCCAAAACCAACACAAAACCCCCACAAATAAACAAACAAAAGAATCAAACAAACCACACAAAAAACCTCAAACCAATACAAAAGAAAACCACATAAACTCACACACTTCCACCTGAAGGATTCCATATTGATCTTTGATACGGACAGTAGCCTCCAGATTCCTAATAAGCTAACTGAGTAACAATATTGCAGAAGAACTAGAGATCAGGAAATGCCTCAGCTCAGAGTACACAAACTCATATTAGACTATCCTGCTCTAAAAAGCTTAAAAACAGAGAATGTAAAATCAGAGGAGAAAAGGTTAAAGATTATGATATAACAATAGATCAGTTAAAAGTGGCATTTAAAAAAAAAATAACTAAAAACACCAAAGAAAGGGGACATACACACACACGAGGTAATAGTAGAATGCCAGGGAAAAAAAGACAAATGTGGAGAGCAAAAGACTGAAGAATGACATACACTGAGAGCGAGAGGCAGGCATGTCCCATTTAAAATAAGACTGAGACATGTTCTTTGCTGGTTCCTAGCAAAATGAAACTCTGACTCCCAGTGTAACACTCCCTTGAGAAGTCTCTCTACCTTTACTCTGAAGCTCGGAGGCTCAAGGAATGAATACACCACATGTATAAATCACACAAATATAACACAAATATTCACAAATTTTTTAAAAATAATAAAAAAATTAAAACGAGTACTCTTGCACAGTTCCACATTGCACCGATAGTCTTTAACCAGAATCTCATACTTGGAGACAGTTAGTGATGTCTTTTCTTGAATTCTTGGTTACCAGATGAACACCTGAAGCTTTTGAGAGGACCGAAGATGGAGTAATCCTTTGCAAGATCACTCCACTGCAGCTTTGTAAAGATTTGCAAATAGGTGATAAGAACCACCAGCTCTTCCAGATCCATTAGGATGAAACCAGAAAAGAGACTCTAAACCAGTCACAAACATTTCATTTTTTTCCAAAAATGAGACGTAAGAGAAAGGCTCAACGGAATAAAATTTCAGAGTTTGGCTTAACCCAAAATCAAACCCCCTTGAAATCCAGCATGGAATTGACTGTAATATTTGAATAGGGTATTTCTCGAAAAGCAAAATATTTTGGAACAGATAACATTGGGATTTGATGAATCAAGACCATGTCTCTCCAAAGCAATCTGAGAAGACTGAAGTAGACATACGAATGACCAGTAGATATGAATGAGATAGAAGACCTTACAATAGCCACTTAGATGAATCTTACCTTAGAGAAAAAAAAGCTGAATTTTGTGGTTTTGAATTGTAATTCAGTTGAACAGAGAAATACATGTCTATGTTTCATTTTCATTTTTTTCAGAATTATTCTTGTATGCCTTTACCCAACCATTACAAGTTCTGTGTCTTATATTCAACTTTGTCAGTTTGGACTGTGCCTCCAAATGAATTTGAATTGCACACATTACCTGCTTTCTTCTTCAACAATGAAGAGGATATTCCCTAAAAATGACACCGGTCTAGATGATCTGAAGCTGATATGACAAATTAGTTCCTTATTTGTGCCATCTGATGAAAGAACAATATCTTTTCCTTCTGGGAACTGTATCGAAAAAGGGTAAATCCTGTCACCATCTTCGAGTTCAAGCTCTGGAAGTTCAACTTGAATTTGTGATTGCCTGTGTTAAAAATAAATAGTAACGGTGTTTGTGCTCACAGGATGACAGTAAGAAAGTTGATTCACACATATACGAAACTGCTCTTCAAGGTTAAATACAGAAGAATAACTTCAGTTTTGAAGTATAAGTCAAGTGAAACCAACTCCTTTAGCTAACTCCTTTAACTAACTCCTAAGTCCTTTAGCATTTAGGTGCTAGTTTGTTCTCTAGATATGTATCTGAACATTTTATACCGACCCACTGTAGTTCAACACCCAAATGAAGAGCGATTTCTACTAACCGTGCTACAAAGGGCATAAATATTACTTCCTTACTTCAGGTTTCCTAAACTTAAAGCTTTCATTAATATTGATTAAACTGCATTAGTGCACAACAAGGTAAAGCAAGTTATAAAATAAAGTAAGTTTTCCCTTAACAGGGGAAATTCATGAAGATACTTAGGATGCTTTTCCCAGTTATGCAATTTTAAGTTCCAGTTATTAAATAAGAATGGCAGTCAGTCCAGTCCATATGGAATCCTTTCATTTCCAACCACTGAGTTACTGACAATAAACAAATTACTTGATAAATTACTACAACTCAAATGAGATAAGACAAAAGTAATTTGAAGGTGAAGTTCATTTCATTAATTTACGGCAACTTAAAGAGTTTTGCTCCAATTCTTCTGGTATTGAAATAATACCTACATAGGCATAACAAACTCTTTAGTAATTATAAATAGAAAAAAATTATATTAGAGACCAGAAAAGCATATTTTGACACATATGTACACAAGAGTGCTTGGAAGGATAAAAATATTAAGATTTATATCAAACTGGTGCTGGGTTATGCTACATAATATGAAGACTACCAAAGGGCTCTCTTGTAATAAAATTTCAATGACAGGATAAAGTGGGTGATCCACAGAAAAATGAAAAACATATGGATTATTTATTATATTAAGTGACAGGATTAAAACATTTGTGCTGTCCTCTTTGGTACTAAAATCTTGTTTAAAAAAAAAAAAACAAAAAAAAACCTACCTAACCAATTGTCCAAACAACAGCTAGAATTCAAAACAGTACTTTATAATCCGTGGAGAAAATGAAACAGAAAGATTTTATCTGATCACAATGCAAAAAAATAAATAAGACTATGATCTTAGTATCCAGATAAAGTTAACAATAAATCCTGGTCAGACTCTCTTATTAATCTTCATGCTATTCAAAGTAATTTCAAAAGCATTCACTTTTGATGGTCACTTTACGAAGCAGAAATGTTTTGAGGACAGAACAAGGGCTTGTTGAATGTACAGCAATATTCATTACATTAATTTTCTCTCAAATACGCAAACTCTTTACTTTGCGAGCAGAAAATTAATACTAACCTTCACAAACAAAAATTGGAAGAGAACAAAAATTTTTCAGGATTTCTGTAATAAATTTATTTTGAGATCTTTACCTTAAAAAATCTTGTGGAATGATATTGATGGCTGCTTCAGATTTCACATCCAGAGGAACTGGCATCAGCATTAAAAATGGAGGATCAAAATTTATCTTTGGTGACTTCATAGTGCCAGACAAAGCTATTTTGTAATATGATGGATTATCATTTAGACACACTGACATTTCAGATATGTATGTCCCAGGACAAGCTGTTAATACCAAAAAAAAAAAAAGGAAAAATATAAACTGCACCACAAAATCATATTGCCATAAATATATGCAACTAAAAGAGTTACAGTAAGAAGTTTTGGGTTGGTGTTTTGGGTGGTTTGGGTTTTTTTTATTAAATCATTGGTAGTGCTTTCTTAATCAAAATGTAGCTTAACATACAGTGAATGTTGTATCAGAAGAATTCTTTATTAAAAAAAAAAAGCTTAAAACAGTTAAATTGTTGCCTGAGGCAAACCAGAAATCTTTTTTAAATTTGTCAGAAGTTTTTTGAAGTTTGAATTCTTCTTTACTGTATTAATATTCTTTTATAGATAACATCAATGTAATGCTTCTCAGAATTTTAAGAATTGCAGTCATATCATAAATTACACTAATTAACGTAGAGAATGTGAATTTTAAAAAGGAATAAATATCAGAAGCGTCTGACTGCCAAGACAAGAAAAAGTTGGTTCCTTTCAAGACGGCAATCACTACATTTTAACAGATGACTTTAAAACCTATACTGCTGCCAAGTCAGCAGGACAGGTTCTACGCTTCAGAGAGCATCTCCCATTTCTTTGTGTTCTGCCCCTTCTCACGCCATCTTGCTAACTGCTGCAAGGCAGTTTTCTCTAGGATGGAAAAGCACATCTTCTTTTACTGATACAGGGAGGAAGGTGCTTCCTTCTGCAACCATTATACTATCAAAATCATGTTCCAAACCATGCTGGGCTGTTTACCAAATTTTCAGTTATTCCCACCTGCTGAAGAGCTAGCAAAATGAAGGCTAACTAATGAACACCTCTTATATTTAGAAACAAATCTGTATGACATGTTGTAAGACAATCCAAAAGCTTTAATCTTTTCACTTTCAAGAAAAACACCTTTCCCTTTGATTCCCCTCTATCATCAGACTAGTAAGTTTGGAAACATCCTCACCTAATATTTAGGAAGGAAAGAGACAGCCAAACACATAATTTTGTATTTTATGTGCCTGTATGAGCACATATGTGTCACTGCAATCAAAATACATGTGACAAGCCCTTCTGATATTAGCTCAGATAACTATTTTCACAGTCTGAGAAAGTGTTGTCATTGTTTATATACACAAAGAACAAAATGTAGTGTCTTCAAAGTATTTTGTCTTATTCCCTCCTCATAAGAGCCAATTCCTTCATGGAGATGATAATTGAAGAGTTCCATGGAAGCCTGTCAGCTCACCAGAACATGGGCTGTGGATCCCTTCGTTTCAGACCAGAAAACATGAAACTGGCAAAGTAAAAACCAGATGAAAGGGGAACTTGCTGCAGTGTTTGCAGCATCTGGCTAATTCCCTGTCAAATGGAAATCAATTTTAGGAGACAATACTGCTGAGAAGGCTAAGAAGCTTGTGTTTCTAGGTTTTGATACAGCAAGAACACATCTTTTTCTGGCACTTAGCCCTTTTATGAGGGAAAAGTGAGAGAGCATCAGAAAAGGTCATGGAGACATAAGAAGAGCCAAAAAAGATATTTTTGACATGCTTGTTAGAAAAGATGTTCTATACAAGTTACTCCCATATACAAGCTAAACAGTCTACTGTCCTACAGCTGTGCTCTAACTAAACCATATTTCTGGCATCCTATCTTCATACATATGTACGACCTACGGTAAAGGAAAGTGAAAGGCCATAACCAATAAATGTCATAGGGATGGAACATCAGAAAGGAAAAAAGAAATAGAGCACCATATGTCAGTACCAAAAATATGCAATTTTCAATAATTCACATTTTAAAATATTCGTATCAAGCATAGATCCAAAGTTAAACTTCCAAAAGTTAGGAAAGAATAGTGTTATGCTTTCCTCATACAAACTTTTCATCCCTACGGTACATAACAGTTCTAACAAATCTATTAACTACACGACCATATCTGTTTGCCATAGAATCCCTGACTCGCTCAGAAGGCAGAACAGACAGTGCTTATTCCGCATCACTGATCATTCTGTGTGTGGCTCCACACATTTACTAACATCAAAATTCTGCATATTATGTAAGCCAATAATTTATTGCTTATGTCAGAAACACCAGGATGTGATACAGTCCTCATTTTAAACAGACACAAAGACAAAATAAAAAAGTGAATGACTCCATTAAGTTTTGTTCATTAGTTTGTAATGCTGACAACCAATGTTTTGAGGATATTTCATGTTAAATAAATTACTTCAAAATTAATGAGAATTACGTCCTGAACTAACAGTGGAAGTCATGAATCTATTCTATTAATAACACCTTTCATGACTACTGTCAAAGCTTGTGCTGCTGTTACCATTCTGATATACCACCATTAATTTCTATAGGGCAAACAACAAGCAGTCCAGCAGATGTGAAAATTTTCCTGAGGTAGATTTGACAGTATTTACAAATCTGCTAATCTAAATTGGTCAAGGGCTAACAAAATCTGTAGAATTACATGGGAAATTTCCCCTTTGTCTTTTCTAGATATATTTATTAGGGAAAATAAGCATTCATTGCCTTACCTTAGAAAAAATTCTGAACAAAGGAGCACAGCTTCTCAAAGTACATAACACAGAATCACAGAATCATTTAGGTTGGAAAAGACCTTTAAGCTTATCACGTCCAACCATTAACATAGCACTGCCAAGTCCACCACTAAACTATGTCCCTAAGTGCCATGCCTACGCGTCATTTAAACACCTCCAGGGATGGTGACCCAACCACTTCCCTGGGCAGCCTCTTGCAATGCTTGATAACCCTTTCAGTGAATAAATTTTTCCTAATATCCAATCTAAACTTCCCCTGGTGCAACTTGACACCCTCTCCTCTCATCCTATTGCTTGTTACTTAGGAGAAGAGACCAACACCCACCTTGCTACAACCTCCTTATTCATTATCTCCTTCATTTTCTAATTTGCGTTAGAAAGCCCATCCAGTTCAGAGCACCTTACTCCCTAGCATGCTATCCTGGAACTATGCTTTATGCAGATTCCTTGTTAACAGAAACATAAACAGATTATATTTCTGCTGAAAGACAATTTTATACATATGCAAGTTCTCCTCCCAATACTGCTCACACAGTTCTGGAGGAGAAATATTTCAAGTACCTTCACCTTCCACTCTACCTGTTTCAGTTGCAATTTAAACCAGCAGTAAAAGCTAGTTTGAACAGCCACCTCTTTAGGGATTTCCATATTCCTTGTTCCTCTCTAGGAGCACAAATCTAATTTTTTACGTTTGTGGTTTTTTTTTCTTTTTCCCCAGAAATCTTACAGGTATAATCACATGGTTTTTGATCTTTTGAGAGTGGGTGGAAAGAAAGTAAATTCACCATCTGCTCTTCTCACCCTCTTAAGTATTAGACTGTTATTTTACACTTGTCTCTCAACTAAACATTTTTAGCTCCATTGCCTTGGACTTTCCAATAATTCATGCCTTATTGCATATATACACCTTCAGGAGAGTAAATGGGTGCCAATGAAGAATTTGCATACACTAAAATACAGACTTCAAAGCAGAAAAGTCACAGGTAGTTAAAACAAAGGTAAGCCCTACAAAAAATGAACAACAAAAAAAAATCAAAAGTAAACTAATCATTTCTCCACAGAAACTGTTATAGGGCATGGTTATTTAATATCTTTCTGTTGCAGAAAAAAAATCCTAGAAGATGGAGGTCATGATGGTCATCTGTGCCCATTACATAATCATCACATCTTTCAGGGATACCGAACTCCTGGTAACTCACAGGTGCATTTGTGAGTATTTTTCCACACAGGATCCCAGAGCACAGGTTTATTGTAATTTACTATGCTGCAGATAAGATTTTTCATATCACAATAAGATATAGTGAAATTTTTCATATACTGTTAATGCATTATACTATAGTACAGCAGAAAAGGATCATATTAATATACCTTCAGTTCTTCAGAATCTCTATTAAATTTAGTATACTTTTTTAACATCATATCAGGTAGCATCATATTACCACGCATTATACAAACTCTTGCATTTATTTTAATGCTGTAGCTTACTATAGCATTTTGCACTCTCATTATAATAAATATTGGGGCATATTTACACAAATTACTCTAATGCACACTCAAAGTTCATTTTAAGGTTTGTTCACCCTCACATACTCCAACTTTTCAGTACAAACCTATGAAGGTGATTAGCACACCATATTCACTAACCAGATCTCCTATGTGGGTTTTGACGTTATCTAATGTTCTCTTACAAGAAAGAGTAATTATATTCAGTGAAGGTATATCACAAGTAGGCTATAAATCATGGGAAAATACTTAGAACATCAAATTAAGGGCAAATTATTTTTACAGTTGTTTATGATTTTCTGGAAATAAAGGATATGGGAACACAGCAAAAATACTAATAATTTCACATTACAATTATCAGTCATATTTATGCATACACACGTCTGCATTTACACATACAATTCATTGAGAAATTCAAAATATTGGCTTTTCTTTGTATGCTGTTCCCTGCTTCACAGTCTTTGCAACACCCAAGCAATACATTCTCATGAGGTAAACACCTAAATAGAATAAACATCATATGGATGATCATTTCACCTATTCATTATCACATGATCCCCCTCCATCTGCTCGACAATAGTATTAGAAAATTTCTTAAACTTCCTGTCTTAAATGCCATAGAGGCACTTAGAAGAAGAAAAAAATGAGACTCTATGCTCATCTGGGCCCTAAAAATCACCAGATATGCATAAATACATATTTATCCTTTTTATCTTCCAAGTCTAATATGGCCCTGGGCAATTTTCTTTTCCCAGCTATATACGTCAACCTAATCAATGCAAAATGAGGCTATTATATCTCCTATTAAGAGAATATGTTTCTCAAAGTCAAAGCAGACAAAAATGTTAATTACTTGCGAAGAACATGTATC